AAATGCATTGTTTAAGCTCAAAATATCAAAAATATCAATTTCAGGTTTTCATGTTTATTTGAACATTATTTGCAAAATGCATGATATTTCTTTGGGAAGTCCTTTTTCAAACCAGTCATGTGTAGCCCATGTTTATTTATCATTGTCTATAATCATTCCCCAAAGTTTTTACACTTTTTAGAATAATTATTTGATATTTTTAAACAGCATTTAAACATTCACACAACATTTTTGATATGTCAGTTTCAGGTCGACCGAACACCTGAGTTCTCCGTGTTCACGAGCTGGACGACAGAGCAGTTCTCGTCGCGCAGACCGCTGCGGCCGACCCGACAGCTTCATTCGGGGCCTTCGGAGCCGCACCCGGTCGACCGGATAAGTCCAGCTGGCTGTTTTTCTCCCATGTTTGACCATGGCAGATAGCGCCGTCGACCGAGAATTTCTGTCGTCGCACCGAATCGTTTTTGTCGGTCGACCCGACGTTTTTTTGTCGTCGACCACACGAATTTCTTCGCGTCGACCGCCGCTCGTTTGGACTGCTTCAACGGCTATTTTGCTAAGCCGTTGCTGGGGTGTTTTTGGTCTTTTGGTTTTGGGCAGTTTTGGGCTCGAGTTGAGAGGGTATAAATACCAAATTCTGATCTTCTTTTCAAAGGTAATTAAGAAATGTTTAAAAAAGTTTAAAGAGTTTTTAAACAAGCCGGCTTAAGTGTGTTTTAGTGTTGTTGGTTTGAAGAGATTGTTTCACAAGGAGGAGATCATCTCTTGTTTGGCTCCAATTCCATCTCTCAGCATCTTCGTATCATATTGGAGAAGTTTCCTAAACTCTATCTAGCTTTAGCATTTCTTAGTTGTTGATTATCATTATTAAAGTTAGTTTTTATATTGAAGTTTTTAGATTTGAATTATATTATCTCATTCGTTACACACCCCACTGAGCTATTGTAGTTTCGCATACATAGCTATATTAGGGTTATTTGGAGAGATTGTACATTGATTTGTGCTTAATTGAGATCTCATCTTTATTAGAGAGACAAATTTATAAGTCTGTTACATTGTGCGAGTGGTGAACAGGTTTCGGGAGCTTAGAATAACGAGTTGTTGTGAAGTTTTCGCGTGAACTAGAAAACGAGCTGTGAGGAGTGACGTGTTCGCTGAGCTTATAAAGCGACACTGTAGGATCTGTAAAACGTTATTTCGCGCTGTGAACGTAGAAAACCCGGTTGTGATAGTTGGATTTCTCCCCCGGGAGTGGGGAGCGGGAGACGTAGGACGCGAAGTCCGAACTCCGTGATCATGATTGTGTGTTTGAATGTGCTTTGGCGTTTATTTATATTTGCTGCTCATTGCTCCAATATCGCCATTGTCTCATATCATCCTCTATCTTGTTTCATATTGTTTACCCTTGTGTTAGTTTATATATCCTTGCATATATATTTTATCATATAAGGATAATGCTCATTGTTTATATTGCTTATCCTAGCTTATATCTTATGGTATTTCATACTTGCTAGGATAACTTATTAATTAATTTTAATTGGCATTTAAATCGGATTAGATTAGCATAAGACCCTAATCACCCCCCCTCTAGGGTCTAACATGTTTCACATGCACGGGGAATTGTATCCCGAAGCATAAGTAGGGATAAGTCAATGCCTAACATGCGTTGCCGGTTTAGTCTTTCACCGATTGAAGAAGACACCAGAATCCAAGTCTGGGGACTTTTATCCCGAATCCTAAGTAGGGATAAGTCAGTGCCTAACACGTGTTACCGGTTTAGTCTTTCACCTATTGAAGAAAACACCAGAATCCAAATCTGGGGACTTTTATCCCGAAGCCTAAGTAGAGATAGGTCAATGCCGATCAACGCGTTACGATAAAAAGTCAATACCGGTTAATGCAAAATCCTAAGGTCAACGTCGGTCAACGCGTAACCCTAGGTCAATGCCAGTCAACGCATTGCGATGAAAGTCAACGCCGATCGATACAAAACCTAAGGTCAACACCGATCAACGTGTAGCCCTAGATCAACGATAGTCAACGCGTTACGATGAAAGTCTACACCGATCGATGCGAAACTCTAAGGTCAATGCTGATCAACGCATAGCCCTAGGTCAACACCAGTCAATGCGTTGCGATGAAAGTCAACATCGGTCGATGCGAAACACTAAGGTCAACGTCAGTCAATGCGTAGCTCTGAGTCAATGCAGTCAACGTATTGTGATGGAGATAATCAGTTCAAAGTCAACTCAATGACACGAGCCAAAATTAACTCACAAACTTCGATTCGAGACTTCAACGACAGCCAGACGATAAACACAGCGCTAGAGGAATTTTAGCTATTCATAAAAATATTGAATAGACCGAAAATCAAAGAAGTCAAGAATCGAAGCCAACAAGTCCTTTCTCACCGACTGAAGGTTGGACTGATCATATCCAAATTATTTTAGGCTCTTCTATAAAAGAAACGAGACTGAAACACTTTAGAGGGGGTATCTGTAGGCATCAAAAATTATCCACAGATTCCCACACGTGGCTCGAGATAGAGAGAAGACGATGGACGTCACTATCTAGGTCACAGAAGCTTAATTGATGCCGATAAACGTATGAAGTAAGTCGATGAACCGTGTGAAGCAATGGAACTGCAGAATAACGAAGATACAAACTGATCAGGAGCTATACTTCGCTTACAAAAGACGAAGCGCCCCTCGTGTCCCATCTACTCCACATGTGATTCAACTATGGGAGCTTGTAGATCTCCTTGTCGGTTTTCCTTCGCACTTTGAATCGTACAATTCCGAGTTCGTACGACAAATATTCGGCAGAAACGGACGAGAAGCACAAAATAATACCCCAAGCCTTAGCTGAGACACCGCGAGTGTCTTGGCCTTAGGCCGAGACACCCATGGTGTCTCGGCCGTGGCTGAGACACTGCGGGTGTCTGCAGACCCCAAAAATCCGTTTTACGAAGTTTTGAGCTATTTTTCGACCGTTAACCACCTGAATTTGTTTCAACTGATTTAATATCATCCAAGAACATGATAAAATGGTTACAATTGAGGATAAGATCAAATCGTTCGTTCTTATCCGAAAACATGATTTCTAAAGCCTATAAATATGGCCCTAGGGCCTTCATTTGTATAGATCTGGAATTGGCGAGCGTTGGCGAAGCCCTGCTGAATCAGAGATTGAGGAGCATGAATTTCAGAGAGGAGGAGGAGATCGGAGCGAGTTCTTCGACATAAAGAAGAGGAGTTCGTCAGATCTATAGCCCGGTTCCTTCCCTTGAGATCGTACCTAACTGCGATCTCGAGAAGGGTGGTTATCTCACTGTTGCCGAGATAATTGCTTCGATTTCTTGATTCCTTCGCGAATCAATGAAACTCCGAATTAGATCTGATCATTTGGTGGTCCACGGATAAATCCCGGCACATACAAAGATCCTACGCATGCAGTGGGTGATAAACGTCCGTTGCGTTTGTTTGAGGAAAGTTGTAATTTTTGTTATTTTATTGTGTGGAGAGATCTTATAAAAAGATCGACTTTTTAAACTCTTTGTAA